AGGGCTCTCCCCCCCCCCTTTTTTCTTTCTTTCTTTCTTTTTTTTTTTTTCCTTATAGAAAAAATAAAGCCCTGAGCTCTGATCTGTTTAGAATGGAGCTGACCAATCAAAAGTGTTTGGAAATGTCTTTTGGTCAGTTAGGATTTTGATCACAGTTCTTTCTCAGGAACTGTGGGTATGTCAGAAGTCACACTGAAGATTAGTGCTAGCCATATCCCTCAATCAAGGCACCCTGGAAGGAGATACTGATCTAGGCTGCTGGGATCATCTTCTCAAGGTAATACATAGAGTTGAACAAATAGGTCTATTTCATAGGGGATGGTGGCCCAAGGGGGATCAGAAACTTCCAGGCATATCTGTTGGATATCATAAGGCTGAGAATCCAATGATGAATTACACACAGAGGCACCAGCCTCTCCAGTTTGTTTGATATCAGAAGGATCACATAGATCATGGTCGTGGTCAATCAAAATTTCAGGACTCATTGGATGAGTGTTTACAGAAGTTATGGGTAAGGCGGTCTTTTCCTCCTTCACTGAAATGGTCTGGTTTGATATTCCTTGGTTGAGTTTGTTGCTGCTATTTCTTCCATTTGACATGCTGGTTCTTGAACCAAGTCTTACTACCAACTGGTTGAGGTGGAGCACTGAAGCCAGGTTCTGTATGGTGACCTTTTCGGGAAATGTGGTCTTTTTGAACATTTCTCTCAATTTTCTGAGTTGTTCCTGTCTAAAGGTTGTGCAGGTCTGGTGATCTCTTGTCCTTGCAACTGGTTGACATTTAAAAGTATGACAGTACAGTCTTCCCTCGGTATCCATAGTTTATTGGTTCTAGGACCCCCACAGATTCTAAAATCCTCTGCTGCTCCAGTACAGAAGTCGGCCCTGCCCAACCCGTAGGGCCAACCGACTCGATCCCTGACATGACATCTTGCATGCTCCGGAGCTCCGCAGCTTACTCTATGAGTCCTCCATTTTCTTAACAGGGTCATTCAGAGCAAAAGTTTTTAATTTTTATGACTTTTAGTTGATTGATCTTTTTCCTTGCTTTCAGTATCATATCTCAGAATTCTTCATCTAACCCTAGGTCACAAATATTTTCTCCTAAAAGTTTTATAGTTTTTAATTTTACGTTTTGATTTATTTTGAGTTAATAGTTTTATAAAAGGTGATGTTTAGGTATTTTTGCCTATTTACATCCAATTGTTACAACAATATTTATCGGAAAGACTATTCTTTCTCCATTGAATTACTTTTGTACCTTTGTCAAAAATCATCTGCACATACTTGTATGTATCTATTTCTGGTTTCTCTATACAGTTCCATTGATCTATGTGTTTATCACACCTTCAATACCACACTGTCTTGATTATTATAGACATAATTCTTTGTTATTTGTAATTTCTTCGGTAAGAACTTCTTTTTAAGTTGTCAAAATCCACTTGCAAAGCCCAAGTAGAGTCATCCCATTCAGGAATTCAAGACTGAAAAGTCCCCCCAAAATCCTCTTATTCTAGATAAGTAGAGAGTAAGACTGAGGAGAAGATAAAGTTAGTAATTTTATCAGTGTCTTTTTTTGGTATTTCAGATACATTAACTTCAGAATGTAGTTTTAGATTCCTCACTGAATTGAATATTCATTACCTGTTACCAAACTCAGAGATAATTATTTATGTGTTCAAGATTATACCATTATGAATTTCATATAAAACATCTGTACATTTTAATTGATCATTGGAATTAAATCTCTACCTAAGGATGAAAACTTTTGAGAATATGCTTACTGGTAAATATAAATTTATATGGAAAAAATGTTGAGCAAAATCTAAAAGTCAGAAGTAGCAAGAAAATGACTATCACTTTCCTGTGCAATTAGTCCACCTTGGTCACAAAATGTCAAAACACTCAGTTTGATAGAAAAAATTGAAAATATTATAAAATGCAATATTTTTGCTACTTTAAATTATAAGCCAAATTAATGGAAAACATTTAAGCAGCAGGATAACAACTATACATATAAAAACATTTTAATTTTCTTTCTTTTTTTTTTTTTTAAAGATGACCAGTAAGGGGATCTTAGCCCTCGACTTGGTGTTGTCAGCACCACGCTCTCCTAAGTGAGCTAACCGGCCATCCCTATATGGGATCCGAACCCATGGTCTTGGTGTTATCGGCACCACACTCTCCCAAGTGAGCCACGGGCCAGCCCCATAAACATTTTTAAAGTACGTACATGTTTAATGTTACATACTTATTTAACATTAGCATATATGACTTAAAACTTTGGTGCAGATCCTGGGAAATAGCTAAGGATTCTTAAACTCACATTTCTAGTTTAAGAGTTTAAAACCAAATACAAATTATAAGAAAATCCATTTGCAAATTAGTATTGAAAATAACACAGGCCATTTAGAAACACTAGGAAGAAATCACTATGATATCTATTGCATAACTCTGAGGTTTTTTTAAAATAAAAAATAAATTATTAACTAGTCCATGACAAAAGCTACAGTACTAGTTCTATATTGTAAGTAAAACAAAATACATTTTTTCCCCAGCCATTTATATTACTAACAAACATTCCTTTGTGTATTTGGAAAAAGGATCACAATATTCCATGAAGAGTTCACAGTTTCTGATGTAAACTACAGAATCATAACTTGCAAACACAACGTTGGTGCTCTGTTTTAGTATGTATAGCACTTTATACCTAGCACAGTGTTATAATCATGCATTTAATAAATGGTGTTTGACAATACTTAGAAATGACAATATCACACTTTTACTGTATTCCCACACACTTATAAAAAGCTTCAGAACTTGAAGAAAGCTTTCTCACATGTTCTCTCCATTGATGCTCATCACAAGACTCAGAGGTAGGCAGAATAGGAATTATTTGCATTTTAAATTACACAGACTGTAATGTGATTGCATTTATATGTGTAGGGTTTTGGGAAGCGCTCACATCATTCAACTACAGCTAGTGATGAAGTTAGCAAAGAAGGCTTCATTGTATAATAACATCAAAAAAGAACAAAAAGAGTACCTGATTTGGGGGGCTATTTAGATTCCAGTAAGCAATAGGTAAAAAAAAGATCAAGGATCTTTTATTCTTAGATACAAGTACATTATTTAAATATTTATGTATTTATGTAATTTATTATATATAGCATAATATAGAGTATAATTTATATTGTTAATATTAATTATATCAATTTATATTTTAATACAAATTATATATTATAATATGTAATTACTTATATAATATATAACATATAATTGCATAATATAAATATATTATAAATATATAATGCTTTTGTTAAGTTTTGTGAAGATAAGAGAGTTAGTCTTTTGGTATATGAACTAGGTTATAAACTGACATGATGAACATGCTTATAAGATACATTGGATATTTTCTTG